GCGATACTAGGCCTTGCAGCAATGCCTCTTCTCTGCTTGCTTCGACGCGCAGTTGTCGAAAAGGGGAAGCGCTGGCTTTCGTTTTGCAGCTTCTCAGGTGTTTTGGTTGGTGGTACTATGTCGAGTCGTAGCGGGCCTATCGGAAAGTAATTGTTGAGTTCACTCTCGTGCAATCGTTTTATTGGTAGCACCCTTAAACTGTTAACATGTGTCATGGGCAAACTGCAGCCTCAAATACCCATGCAACGTGTATGAGTTGGCTCAGGTTGATTGAGTATATGATATGGTACTTTGCGGTCTCTTCCTCAGGAACCCCAGTACCGGGAGATCCTAGAGGTGATCAAGGTCACATGTGTGGCCAACGACCGGTACTGGCGATCAATCTACAGCCATGGAATGTGGATCCCACGGAGAGAAGCAGTTCAAATCGTTACCGACGGGTGGACTTTCACTGAACCAAAGCTTCTTTCAAGAAGGTTTTCAGCATATGCTTTGACCAACGGGGTTTTGTTGAAGTAGCCCCACGAAGCCTCATCCTGCGTCCCCTTTCCCCTTTCTTGGAAGGACGGCTATTCGACACTTGCAGCCCTATCATCCCGGCAGAGGATTTATGCCTTTCAAGTCCGACCCAAATTACACATGATGGGTCACATAACGCCTTTTGGTTGCACCATGTTGAAGCTAGTCGGGTGATTGAAAACAAGACTCGCTGTGGTGCCTTTCGGTGCGTAAGGTTGGACATGGACCACCAACTCAAAAGCGGCGTTGACTTTGTCATGTCCCCAACGGCCCACATGACGTGGGCTGATGAGGATTTCATAGGTAAGATTTGCCGGATTTCACGGAGAACATCTCCAATGACTTGCGCTTGGCGAACAATCGACCGCGCACTAGGTCACTACCGGAGACAATTCAAAATTAATTTCAGCCATTCCTACGTGCAGGGGTAAAGGAGGAGATGGAGGTACCAGAAGAAGAACCCACACAGTTTTTTAGAGCACACGACTACACCACCATCCAAAAGGCTGGCACGTGGGTGAATTAAACCCACCGGGATGCGCACTGAGTGCCCCGGCTTCTGAAGTTGCAGGCGTGGCCGAAGACAAAGTGTGTGTGTGTGTGCGTGGGGCGTGGGCGGGTTGAACCTTATCTTCCACCTCCGTGAGTCTTATGTTCCAAATTGGAATGCAAGGTCGTCAACTTTTTCTGGGGTCGAGCACTTTTCTTGGATTCGTATTAGAAATTGGGCTATCGAGAACTTTTCACTTCGTGGTACTTTTTTCTATATCACTTGGAGGTCTAGGACAAAACGGTTCCCTCATGGTTCCCTCCCCATCTCCGTCCCCTTCCTCCGAGGTCGCAGTCGGCGCCATCATCCGGATCTCCCCAGGTCACCACGCGCCCGTCGCGTCGAAGGGCTGCGAAGGTTTATTGAGTTTGAACTGGTAGCAGGCCAAGTAGACCATACCACCACAAGAAACACCCCAGGACGAGAATCACATGTGACGGTATCTTCTGTCAAGGATGCGCTGACGCACAGTTGACAAGTGAACCATCACTGCCTCATCATATGCCTTGTCGGCCCCAGTCGGCCAGCCCAAAACTCTCTGCAAGGGATCCTGAGGCAGACGACAACGAGTGGCCGCAAGCTCAGGACATTCCCATGCAAGGTGGTGCCACGTCGGCACTGTTTCCTCAGACCACCATTGGCAACCGCCAAGGTTCACACTTCTGATTTTGTCAAAACGGGCGTCGGATATCACTCCACCCATCATGACCCCACAACCATGAACATTCTGCTGCCGGAAAAGCTTGCGAGCAAGGGAAATACGTCGAGCATCGACGACAACGCCTTGCACACTGGTCGCATCTCTGCGGCTGCTATTCAGAAAACTTTGGAAGCGCTGCCAGCGCCAAGACTCACGAATCTCATGAGCATCCCTTTCTGTGATTGGGTTTTGAAGATTCAAATTCCAGTTTTGCCGCGGGTGATTCCACATCCACGGCGCTACACTTGTCCACCCAAGTGAGGCAAGCCATCTTTGAACTCGGTGCACACACGTGCCTCTGCGAGGACGAGGCTGCCACTGTCGAGGTCTTCGATGAATTTGCTTAGCGAGATAAGAAAAAGCTTGGAAACCTGAGCAAAACTCAACACTAAGGCCATGGCCAGTTAGCAGAACCCACAGGTCTACTGAAGCACTCTGGTGGCACCCAGAACAACGCTTAATCTTAGTATCAAGCTTGGAGGCAGGTGGGCGGCGCGTCCACGTACCCCAAACAGCCTTAGGAACCACCATGCTTGCCAAGAGCCCTCTTTTGTGCTGAGAAGTCACAGGGAGCAGAGCAATGCGATCAGCTCTCTGTTGCGCTTGACGCACACGCAGATCATGAGTAGGTTTAATGGCAGCCCCCAGGCGGGCCGTTGCATCAACCCCCAAAACTCTGGTGGAAGGCACAATTTGATCAGCGCTAAAGCCTTCATCGATCAAGTCCTGTTGCCATTTCTGTTTCCTAGTAAGGACTTTAGCTTTATTCGAGTTTTCACTGAGGCCTACTTCATCCGACAGGAGTTTCCAATTATGGAAAAGCCGGCCCGCCTGGGCAGGAGAAGAAGCTATGAAATTTCGATCGTCCAGGAAAGTTGTCAAAACGTGGGGCTCCGGCTCGTCGTGCACAATATGAGCCGAAAGGCCTGAGACAATTGCGAAGGGCTGCGAAGGCATCCGCCGAAGCGGAAATCTCCTGCAAGGGCGAAGAATAACTAATAAAAGGGAACAACCAAAATACATAATAACAATTTGCATGTATATTTTGTGTCTTAATTAATTCTGTCATAAATTAAATATAAATTAAATCTGTGTTTCTTGAAAACGTCTATTATATATGTATATTTTAAATAGAGTTTTAGTTCGCTTGACATCTCCTTAACGTCGAAGAGTTGAGACCTCAGCAGCGACTAGAGGTTGCGCCGTGGTTGCGAAGGTGTTGACAAAAAAGCTTTCCTTCCTGGACCCTCCAAGGGGTGGTTAATGGATACCTCCTTAACAGCTCAGGGGCTATAAATAGACACCCCTTGGAGGGTCCTGGTATAGATGTTTCATCTTTACAATTCATACATCATAACAAATGCTGATATGAAGAGGTTTACCATCTCCATGTCTGAGGGGGGGTTGATGAATGAATACGAACACAATTAAGGTTAAGACTGGACCTCGCTGCTGTCACCGCCCAGCTCAGGATCTCCCCAGGTCACGACGCTCCCGTCGGTGCAGAGGGCGGCAAACCTTGGGATCTGTCGAGGAACCGGGACTATGGAAAGCATGCATAGTTCCAGTACTAGGGGCTCCTGGCTTTACTTCTAGGAACAAGAAGCTACATGAAACTACTAGGAGCAAAGGGCATCGCTGCTAGGAGCAAGGACGCTACGAACGGGGCTCCTGGCCTTACTAGTTCCAAAAGGGGTGCCCATTGGAGGAAGTCGGGGTGCCCATGAGTTACGACCACGACTCAAAATAATGACGGAACTGCGTGACTAAGCCGGAAGGGGATGAAAACCATTGGATTCACCCCAAAGGGCCCTACAGTAAGCCCTAAGCAAAGCCAAGAAACGCTTCATCGGTGGAGCTGATTTGCTGCACATTCCGCAGCTGATCTTGGACCGTTCTGCTGTCTGCGCCCCACTCGGTGTCGCCCCAAGTTACCACGCCACTATTGCAACACCAAAGTGCAAAAGCAGCTTTGGTGGCCGTGATGCCAGGTGACTGGGCAATCGCCGTGACAGAGTCTCCATTGTGAATCCCAGCCATGTGAAGCGGGAGGTTCGATTTGGGATCTAGAAAATGTCCATCTGCAGTGACCAGCCTCAAAAAGCCTCGCCCCAAGGCCTCTTGCACAGCGACCTTCAGGTCACTGAGCGTCGAATCCTTGGCAATGGAAATGCTGTGGCCCTGCCCACTCGGCAACAGGACGGTGAGTGAGATCTGCGAAAGGCTCTTCAGGGCCTTGGCAAAGAAGTAAGCGGTCACAAGCAGCTGACCCACCCACCTTCAAGAATACCTCCCGCTCGGTGGATCATCTTCATGTCAAGCTTGTTGGCCGGCTTGCTGTACATCACCGCTAAGAGTTGATCATCGCATAATCACACCCAAAGGATGAAGCCATGCCATCCAAAAAAGGAAAGACTGAAAGACTTATGTAACAGTAACAGTAATAAAAGTAAACAAAAGTATGTTTTCTTTGCCGGGAACAAAACACTAGTAATAAACACATGTTGCCTAACAGCAAAACAACAACAACATCAACAAACTTGTACAACAAACAATTAAACAACACAACAAACAAACAATAATTGTTGCCCTACCATCTCCTCAACAAGAACAGAAACAGCCAAGTTCAGAACACCCTGTCTATCGCCGCCCGTGTCCCGCCATGTTCAACTTCTGCCGTCTCAGTCGCTGCTCCATACAACGCCGGAGCTCGGCTCTTGCGCGTCACGCGCCAGCGCAGGGGGCCGTAGGAGGCCATGGGCAGGGGAGGCGCCAGGCTCACAGAGCCAATATCCCCGACGGCCTCGAGAGGCAGGTGGAGGACCCCCCGCTGGTTGTCCCTGTGGCAGCGGATGACAACGCCGCCCACGCGGAGGAGGACGGCTTCAATGCGTGGCTTTGATGGCGCCGAGGCGGGTTCCGCGTCATGAAGTCGAAACTTCAACATGGGTCGAAAGGCAATGTGTTCGATTTCGATTTCGGATGATCTGATGAAGTCTGACATCCTTTATCACGCTTTCAAGGATCTGAGGAGATGATTTAATTTTTGGTCTTAGAATCTCTGGTTGACACCCATAATTCGTAGGTGGCCGGTCTTCTTCAATGAACACATATGGCGGAGCCAAATCCCTCCAAAGAATCCCAAATCATCGTGGTGTGGTTGATTCATCATCACAGATCGACATCATACCACATAATTAGTCTACTATAGTCTATACGTATATGTCCATCATATACCTAGTACTTATGTTCAGTACTCAACTAGTGTGATGACTGAAGTATGGCTGGAGTCCGCAGGTTGATCTGTTTCGGACACCGCTGTTCTTAGTTGTCCGTCCCATATCGGTGAACCACTTGAGGTCAGAATCAACTCACATTCTCATCAATCATCTCTCCAATAGGGGCCTTGATCGAAAAACATGACCCTTCCCCAAAAATGGAACCTTCAACCACTTCTGAAGTGGTTGAAGGTTCCATTTTTTGGGGAAGGTGCCACTTTTTGGGTTCCGGTTTGTTCTCAGATTGCTTCAATTCACCATTCTCATGCAGAACTAGTGGGTTGCGTGACACTTCGGCCGTTCGGGCGGAACCCGTTGGGTCGGACGCGGCTCGAGGAGCAGCTCCTCAGGCCGCTTGGCATCAAATCGTGAAGCAGCTGAGTGGGCTGTTTCTGATATAAGTACTATAGGTGAATTGATCAGTGCCTGGGTTCTTTTTGGGCTGTTTTTGATAAGTACGGTGAATTATGGTGAATTGATCTGTGCCTGGTTCTTTTGTTAGTGTGTTTTGTTTGGTCTGTCTCCAAGGTGATTGCATGTGTGTGTATGTATATCATGAGGAAATGAAGTGCATTTGTAGTTGGAGTTTCAGGCCAGTCCCATTGTACACTTACACAGATCTTCAATGCTTTTCTGGCCTTCCCCATGAGCACTTCGGTTCAGTGTCGTTCACTTGGACGACCAACCACTGTGCCACTGAGATTTTGGCACGGCTGAGTCGAGCCGAGATTTTGACGTGTGAGCAATGGACTGGGTGATGTGGTCTTGGTGCTCTTGAAGCTCAAAGGGGTTGTTTTGAACAGTTGGTCATCAAGTTTCTGGCCCACAGCTCGTGCCATCTGGCCATAGGACAGAACAAATCAGGTAGACAAATGTAGACAATGCAGCATCAGTGAATCTACTTGGATCTACCCGTGGCAAGCTGATGTGTCACGTGCGGGTGAACAGCCCGCTCTGACGGCTTGCTGTTGCAAAGGAACATGGCCCCGCCCCCAGCGACCCTATCACCATCGATCATCGCCCCGTCCAGCCCGGCTGCACATGAGCAGCCAGGGCGAGTGCACCATGTGGGCCACCGACGCACCCCCCCGGACGCACTGCTTCAACTCCTTCGACCCCTTCCGGTGGGTCCCTTTTTCTCATCTGCGTCCGATGGGACTGTGCGTTCGTTGGAGTCTTTGATGTCATGCAAAGACCAACATGTTCTACTTCCTGGCTCGTCTGGCTCGGCCCATATCAGACTTCCATCAGGTCTACAACATGTGCACAGTATTAGGGACCACTGCCCCAAAGATCAAAAGTTATCGAATATATGCTGATGTGCGAGGGTCATGCGAGTTAGTGGACCCCAACTCCAGTGGTTGATACAGAAATCATTGCAGAAATGAATGCATGCGCGAGAGAAATCCGGTGTCTCTTTTGGTGGTAATCTCCCGGCATTTGGTGCCAAATGGACGCTGAGGAATCTCGATACAAAACACAACAAAGTCCCTGACAAGTGAGGAGAAAAGAACCCCACCTTGGTCTTGGCCTACTGGAACGTTGATAGTCAGTTTAAAGGGCCTTTCAACATGCCGCAAAATGGTGACGCCAATTAAACTCTGCACTTCCTTTTCTGAAAGCATCTGACAGTTTCGGACCGTGGTCAGGACTTCCAAGCAACGTGTGCACCCACTCAGCTAGCACTCCTGGAGTGAGTCAGCCTGGCACATGCGGATCCGTAAAAAAGGTTTCCAGCGCAAAACGGCTAAACTGGGCGGCCCAGCACTGAGTTGTTCTTTCAAACGGATACCATAGGCTGACCCAGCTCTTCATTTAGCGGCACATGGAATGTGAGCCGAAGTCTAAACCTTGGCTTTGACCCTCCCTCCAAGAAATATAGACTGGTGGAAAAGCCAGCTAGCAATTGTTCACTGTTCTTGGGCCGGCCTCATTTTTCGCCGTCATCACATCGTCGAATTCAGCAATTAGTACATATGTGCCATCAAACAAGTCAAACATTTCTGGGGGCAATCACAAAAAGACACAGCTTGTCCAAAGAGGTTTGAGGAGTGTTAGAACCCAGTCCGTGTCACCCAAATTGGATGTCCCGGTCACACGTGTCGCCCGCCTCTTGTCCACCCTCAGTCGGAGAGCGCCGATGGAATGGTCCGGGGCCCGGAGCGTGAGCTGGGGCGATGGCCAAGGCCCTCCTGGCGGAGCTAGCGAGTTGGACGTGGGCTGGGCACTCAGTTGGATGTGGGCACACACACGCACACCTGGACACATGCCCAGGATCCCGGGATGTCTGGGGTTTTGGACCAAGGGGTGGGTGGGTGGAATGGCCGTTTTCGGACACCGACTAGGTGAGCACATGCTTCGTTTCCAAGCTGCAGTGACTTTCAGGTTTCGAAAGGTCCTCAGGTTTGGAAGGACGGTGCATTTACCATGATCAAATGAACCAGAACCGGTATGAACCAGTCATTACTGCGGAAACGTGTGGAAAGGGTATTTGGAAGGGATGCTTTACAATCCGTTCCATTTTGAGAATGAGAACACCTGTAGGCAAACAATGACCAACCAAAACTGCAGCGAGCTGAAGGCCCAGCGGTGTACATTGGAACACCTGGAGGCCAAGGGCGAGCGGATGCTAGCGACTAGGACTCGGCCGAATACCACCAGGGCTGCTGCCACGGGTAGGGTGACCTCCCAGTTCGATCCACTGGATTGGTCTACCCAGCCAAAGCCGTCTGCCTGATGTAGACCCATATCAACAGTTGTCTGTTCAACTTCCTAAAAAGGTGGAACGTTTCAGAAGCTCCTTGAAACTGAAAGCACAAACAAAACACCCTCTCCTGAGACTCTCTGAAGGATTCAATCTCGAGCACGTGTTCCTGGGTACATTTCAGGCGGCCAAGTGTGGGGCAAACAAAGATTTGAGAGAAATCCTGGCAGAAAATGTCTAGCACCGTCCACTTGGAAGGCACCTGCTTTGCCTGCCCTTTCCAGGCTTCGGCCTGTCTCATGACATGTCTACACGGAAACCTGAAGCAGAGACCCGAAGGGCTGGAAGATTCAAACTTAAGAAAACCTACGGGATCGCTCAACAAAAAAAATGTGTTTCCTCTTTTTTCGGTCAAAACATGTCAAAACCCATCCGGACTGGAATAGTTGCTTATATGGACAGGTCATACATGCGGTGTTATGGAACTATGTAGAACCTGACTGATATCTATTTTGGACCCCAACCACCCACAATATAGTCTTTTCCATTCTTTTACTATCAACAAATATAGAGGTCATGTCTGGGCTCTAGGTATTCCAGTCTCATGGCCGTGGATGCTCTAGGGTCTGGTCAAGACCTTCAGTCATTGGATCCGCGTCTTTTGCCGATCGGTGTGGCTCCATCGATGGCCCATCGAAGTGCAATGCTTCAGTGATTCCAATTCTCGGTCCAAAAGCAGGGCCTCCAGAGTGACCCTCCCTGGAATAATCATGTAAGTGAATAGCATCACCTGTTTGGTATTCAAGTTTCATGGTCATCCAGTCATCCATTTGTGGGCCATACCATCCGATGTAACCATGAATGATGATTCCATGGAGTCTGAAACATACCAAAGCCTTGTAACAGACTTTGGCCACTATGACCTGGTGGATCCAGGGCTCCAATCCCAGCTTTTTCTGCCAGCAAACCATGCGTCTTCACCATACTAAAACCACTTCATCTCATCCCAGGCCGAGCCAGGAATGGTGCGCGTGGCCGAAGGCATTCTGCCCGCCCAAGTGGCCGAGATCGTCATGGGCAAGCCGTAGAAGCGACGGAGCCTGAGTCGTTGTCCGGTGGAGGGCGTTGCGGCCTGGAGGCCACTGGAGGCCAGGTGAGGTGAACAATGGGTCATATGTCAAAACAATAGGTCATAACTGGTCATATGTCAAAACAACCTGATGCCCTGGTAATCATGGAAGTGGATGGCATGACCCCAAAAGGATGCCCCTTTTCCTCTACAAATAGGTGTTCTGTTTACTTTCATGGTGGACCAACTGAGTTCTACGTTGGCGATCTCAGTGCCTTCGTCCGTGTGCCGGGCTCGTGTGCCGGGCTCGGACCACCGGACAGCGCGGAACCGGGCTCGTCCGCGCCAGTGGGGCCGGTGGGCCGGTGGTGTCACGACCTGTCCGGGACTGCCGGACTGCCAGGCGGGTCTTGGCTTGATCGGCAGTCCGGACTGGCAGTCCCATCAGACAGGTCGTATCTGGGTGATTTGACCTTTTCTTCCTGGGGGTGACTGACTGTGACAGTCACTGTTCTGCTTGCAAATGCAGTATGCAGTTTACAGGAGGAAGTCTCACAAGTACGGCCAGTTCACCCCATTCCCATCGATTCCATTCGTTCTTTCTGGGGACCCCATTCCCATCCAAAACCTCCTTTCAGGCGCGTTCCCAGGAACAGAAAACGCCACAAAGGCCCCCATGACCACCGGACCGTTCGGACGTGGCGTTCGGAGAGGTTCGGACAGCTCCATCCAAGGGGCTTGTACTCTAAGAGTGGCCGTCCTCTCAAACCACCATTCTTCAGGATCACCTTGACTTTCGAAACATCCTGAGAAGTCTGCAGAAACATCTGCAGGTGACACCGAAATCAAAACCCTTTCTGATTTCTGTTCTATCAGTCTCCTTTTCATCCTTATCT